AAGTCAAAGTCAAAGTCAAAGTCAAAGTCAAAGTCAAAGTCAAAGTCAAAGTCAAAGTCAAGTCAAGTCAAGTCAAGTCAAGTCAAACAGCCCATGAAACTTACAGAGGCCCCGGGGTCACTGAGCTCATCTAAAAGCTTCCGGGCATCTACCACAGCCTGATACAGCCTCAGGTTCTTCCCATCTGATGCCACAAAGCAGGCACTGGCAGAATTGCAGTATGTCCCTAATTTGACAACAAGAAGTGTTCATTTAACACCGAATATGAGCCATACCGTTCAATAACTATTGCTGGAAAAGCTTTATGTTATTATGTTATGTCCTACTGTGTGGCAAATGAAAACATTCCAAAGATCTAAACGCCAAAGTATACCAGTCTTTCCCCCTCTTACAAATAAAGCAAGGATCTGTTTTTAGAGAAAATAATAATATGGGTATGTCAGCTCCCAGTCTGAAAGCTTCAGGGACATACAACCAGCATGTTCTCTCTCTTCTACATTCACAGTTTAGGACTTCATTTATCAGAAGGGGGAAATTAATAACACTCCGGTTTCCTATGCTGGGAGATGCGAGATAATCATACTGACCCAGACAATAACTAGGGATAAGAGTTGGGAGCCAGGCCACGTTCGAGAAAGCAGAGGTATGGAGAGAATTAATGCGCGCCAGTTCTGATACTCCTCCTGTGTAGGACAAAGGCCCGATGGGGTCCACTCGCCAGAGAATCAGCTCACTGTAGATTGCATCGGGGTTGTGGAACGCACGGGTGGCTGCGTTTTGCAAATGCTGCCTGGATGGGGCTCTCAGGATGGGATATGTGGGATCCACTGTTTTATTTAATCCTCCCAAGTCCCACGGGGGATCCGCCTCGGGAGTGAGGAGAGCATTGTGGTGGGATGAGGTCAGCAGCAGCGGCAGCACCGAATGGCAAGCCAGGCCGTTGAGATGAAACCGGTGGCCGCAATACCGGAACTTGTGAGTTACAGTGTGGACAGCGGTAAAGGCGGATTTATCTGCAAAAGAAACCGCCCACTGATTTAGCGAGCCATCGATGTGTTTGGAGACCATCATGACTGTGGGAGTGCACAGGTTTCCACTTGACCGATCTTGAAACCTGCTCAGTCTGCATCCAGACAGGCTGCCCGAAATGCTAGTTCTCTTCCGTGCTGGGACGCTGCTGCTTTCCTTTGCGAAGGTCGGGCAGGCGTACATCATGATGTGTTTGCTGAGGGAGCTGGCGTCGCCCGATGGAAAGGCCACAGGGATCTGAGAAGAAAACGAAACCTAGAAAAAGGGGAAGGAAATGGCAGGACAGGATCAGAAGAAACATCCTCTTTTTTAAGGCCAAACCGCCTCTTTCCCTGTTATGTGAAAATCCCATGAATTGTTAAACGTTAGGACAAAACAAGATGTGGCTGTAAAATGCACTGTCATCTTTAACATGCACTTCAGAAAATCTGCAAATAGCATCAACTGGAAAGAACACATCAAGAGGAAACTGGATTTTAATTCTTTCTTTCTCTGCTGTGGTTCTGCAGCTGGAATTTGCACTAGAAAGAAATGCCCCATCACTGGCCATTTCAGAGGAGGGAGACAATGGCTCAGCTGTAGAGGATGCATTTTGAATAATAATAATAATAATAACAACAACAACAGCAGTACCTGCAAATAGAAATAGAACGACTGTGGCAAAAGAAAGCAGAGATAGTACCAGTAGTAATAGGCGCCTTGGGTGCAATCCCAAAACATCTGGAGCACCACTTGAACACCATCGGCATTCACAAAACCACCATCAGTCAATTGCAAAAGACCGCTTTACTTGGAACAGCTTATATCCTGTGATGATACCTTTAATACCATCAAACCATCAAACAACAACATCTGCTTATCCCAGGTCCCTGGGAAGGACTCAATAGGTGGATAAAAATGCCAAATCCAGTCCAAATATCTGGCTGACTGTGTGACCAATCATCATAATAATAATATAACCCAGTCTAAACACCTGACTGTGTGACCAACACAATAAATATAAATATTATTATAAATATAATAATAACAACAATAACAATAATTCTCAGAATTCCTTGGTAAGATTGGAAAATCTGTCTGCCTGAAATCTGAAAGAACAATGGGTTTTGGGGGAACAATATGCAGAGGTTGAACATCTACTAATCTGACAGTTTTGTGTTCAGCAAAGAGATTTTTCCCAGGATAATATACCTATCCATTGAACACAATAAATTAAAAAAATAATGTTTATTTAACTTTATGCTAACATTTGATATTTACTTAAATCATTTTGACTCTGCTCTGTATAAGAATGGGTTGACTTAGAGGCATACAAAATGTTTTGGGTTCAACACAGCTATCCTAACGTCAAAAAAAAAAAGCAGTCCAATACTTTCTGACTTCACTGGACATGTTCCAAGCTTGAAACGCTCCCCATAAGGTTGGACCTTGTCAAGTCAAAAAAGCCCTTCTGGATCCGAAACATTTTACACACATCTAGTTCACAGAGATCAAGAAGAGTCAACCAGTCTCCACTGTGGAGTGTTCGATCAAAAAGGCATAGGGAAAAAGGATGGAGGAAAAACAGATATGGATGGAATGGAAATGATAAACTGAATTACAAAGTTCTTATAGAGGAATATCCCTGGTTCTGTATTAACTAATATAACAACTTTTTGGATTGTCAAAAAGGTTGGATCTATATTGAAGTTTTATGTTTGTATGTTAATAAGTACCTGCATTCTTAATACAGGAATTATGTCTTGGAAAATACATCTACCTGAACTTGTCGAAAGATGCCCGGGTTGTATTCATCTAGATGTTTCACATGCCACACTAGAAAGGTACCATCCACGGGATGAATGGTGAAGAGCATATCTGGATTCTGGTTCCACTCTTTAAGCAGCAACTCGATCTTTCGGTCGAGTAAGATAGTAGGAAGTGGAACCGGTGAAGCAGCTGGAGAAATAATTTTGGGACTTCCCTCCTTGTCTCCATCATCATGATCTGAAGATCCAGTCCCTGTTTCAGATTCTCTGTCGAGAGACAACTCTAAAACAAAAGATCAAAAGACCAGGAGCCATTGTGTTGCATGATGTCGTATCATAACAAAGCTTGTGGACAAGAAAAAAGAAAGAATCTTGGATACGAAATACCAGGCTAGCCTCATTCAACATTTCCCATTCTGAGCACTGAATTATTGATTGCTGTGGAAAAGGTTCAATGCAAGCTTCTGATAGGGAATACAGAGAAACAAGGAAAGAAACAATTTTCATTATTATTTCATTGACTTGTTACAGCTTTAGCTGGTTGTTCATAAAAGTGCACCATGGTCAGGAAATCTGAATCTTTCAAAGTATCATTGAACATTCCTCACTATTACAACTCAAGAGCAAGATCGTCGTTCACGTGTAACCATTCTGACTTCTCAGCTATAACTACTGGGGTGGAGTTAGGGAAGGAAAAATGCATATAACTAACCATGATCAAGTTTCATGAGTAAACCTTTCTCTTTCTCTTCATCTTCTCTTTCAACAGCATCTTCTTCTGCTCCTTTGATCTGCTGGTCTGTCAATTCTCGCAAGTGCTGCATAAATATTTCCGTTGAAGATGTAAAATGGAATTCCTTATTATTTAGCCAATGAACCACAAAGCCTTCGTTGCCTTCGTCTAAATGTAAAGCAGTCTTCACCAATGCTGGTGGAATATCTGAAGAAGGGACATTTTGAAAAAGGAGCTTGATTTAGATATTAAAAGCGTTATTCAGTGTTTCAGGTACTTGGGAAATGAGTTGGCCTAAAAGGATGTACAGACAGTCGTCAACTTACGACCATTCGTTTAATGACCATTTGAAGTTATGATGGTGCTGAAAAAAATGACTTATGACTGGTCCTTGCACTTATGATCGTTGCAGTGTCCTTGTGGTCATGTGATCAAAATTTGGGCGCTTGGCAACTAGCATGTACAGTGGTACCTCGGGATACAAACGCCTCTACTAACGGACGTTTCGGGTTACACCCTCCTTCGGCAGAAAAAATTTCCCTCGGTTTATGAACTCGCCTCTAGTTACGAACCGGATCTACGGCCGTTTTCCCTGCTGCCGCGCGGTCGCGGCTTCCGGTGGGCGAGGTCGTGGTAGCAAGGAGACGTTTGGTGAGGCTTG